TGTCAATATTGTTTCCTGGCTCGCAGCCGCCGAGAGACCCCTGCTGGTCGAGGAGATTGAGCATTTGCTGAATGTGGACACAAAGGGTCCCAGCTTCTCCTCCAACAAACCCACTAGTAGTTACGATGCCTTGAATGCTCTGAGCCCGTTAGTCATGACCCGTGATGGCGTGGTCTCTTTCGCCCACACCTGCATTCGCGACCACATCATCAAACAGGCCAAATCAACCGGTGGACAGTCCCAGCTCAGTCTCAAGGATGCACACTACGACTTGCTCACCAGATGCCTTTCCTGCGTGCAGTTGGGTGTGCGTGAGGAGGTTGATGTTTCCATGGACAAGCTGGGTATCGAGGAGCGCAACCATCTTTTCGACAAGTATGTCGTCTTGGAATATACCGCACGCTACTGGTTGTCGCATCTTCTCTCCTCTCCTCTGGTCTCTGATGACGAAGAGTTCCAATTCAATTCAAGCTTCAAGAAGCTCATGCCTGCCACCGTTCTTTTCGCTCGTCTCGAGTTGACTTGCCGCGAGTCGCAGTTCACTCGGTCTAGTGTCGTGGAGCTCTACAGACTTGCGAGTGACATCCGCCGATTGGTCCTCGGCGAGAAGTCTATCGCCCTTCTAGAGAGTTTGGTCCTCAGCGCACGCGTGTCTAAGTTGGCGCATGCCAGTCACGCTGATGAGACCTGCTACGAAGCATGGAAGCTAAGCCAGGAGCTTCTCGGCCAGTCACACCCGATTACCCTGACATGCTCCGAGATGATGATACAGTCATTCTCCGAGCGAGGCACGATTACTTCTCAGCAGGAAGACATCATGAAGTACCTGATCTTGACCGACTCTGAGATCACCGGCGTGGAGTTTAACCAACGCTTGAAGTACCTTGGAATGATCGTCAGCATGTACAAGTCTCGCAGCGAAAACCAAAACGCGTTGGTCATTTCGAAGCACTTCTACCAGCAAGTTCTTCAGAAATACGGCACCAATTCGCGCCAGTCATCCGAGACTGCCGAATTCTTGACCACTCATTTCTCCACAACTGGAAGTGACGAGATGAGCCGCGATATTGCTAGAACCAAGTATGACAATATGGTGCGCACCATGGAGGTCACCGACGAGCGCCGAATTGCCTACACTCTGTACATGGCTAAGATGTACGAGGATCAGGGTGATTTGACCCATGCCCAGGCAGTTCTGTCAAGCCTGTGGGCTGGTCTCAACTCGCGCGATATCGACTCGGTTGACATGATGGACAAGAAGTCCAATGTCGCCCTTGTGTACTACCAGTTCCTCCGCCGTCAGGGCCGAAGTGATGAATCTGAGGTCATCATCCGTGAATTGGTTGCGGACCTTGAGGTTACTGGTATCCACTCCGAGGAAATGATGCAGCGCGTGCACCTTCTCCGCGCTGAGACTCGGGAGATGCTTATGTACAATCTCGATCGCTCCTTGTCAATTCTCATGTGGCGCTACTACAAGGAGACTCACCAAGAGTACTCAGAGGAGTCGACCGCTCTGGCACTCTCAATTGCCCAGAGCATGGCCAATGCAGTCTCCATTCAGGACGCATCCTCTTTGTCTTCTCGGGACCGCAAGCTGCTGATTGAGCTGCTGGACGTTATCTCGGCCAGTCCCGAAAACATGACTGTCACCACCTTGATCCTGTGCCACAACCTTGCCAGTATCTACGTGCGTGAGGGGCAATGGATCCAAGCCAGTGAATGTTCGATGGCGGTTCTGCAGCATATCTGGCCCACGGTCGGACAGGCTAAATCTCACCAGAAGTTCTCACCCGAGCTCGCACCTCCGGCGGCAGACTTGGCTTTGGTGTTGGCCTACTGCCACTTCCGCAGATTGCATCTGGAACAGGCTACAATTGTCTACGAGAATGCCTTCGGTTCTTTGATCAACTCGGAAAAAGCCCCTGTGCCGTCGGTGCTGGCCGTTGCCAAGGCCGTCGTCGAGTTCCACGAGACTACCTACCAGTTCACCAAGGCGTTGAATTTGCTCCACACCATGAGCAACTTCTTGGCCGCTCGTCTCGGAGAGACTCATGAGCATACCATCGATAACATGTATCTTGAGGCTGCTTTGGCCACTCGCCTGGAGATGAACGGTGAGGCTAAGAGCATCTACCAGCGCATCTTCAAGGCTACTTCCCGTACGAACGGTATTGCCCCAGAGGGCATGGATGCTGCAATTGCCCTAATCAAACTCTACGAGAAGGAGGGACAGTGGGATTCCGCTTTGAATGTTTACCGATCTCTCTGGCCGACTCTGGTTGTTGAAGACAACAAGGTGGAGGCCTATGATCATGAGCTGGTGGACCGGATGCTGGAGAAGACCTACCTGGGATACATGTCTATTCTGACTACTCACAAGAGCTCCGACTTCCCCGAGCGGTACCGGGTTGCCTCTGAGTATGTCATGACCTGTCGCTACGTGCACGGTGCAACAAGCGAGAAGACGCTCAATGCTACCTTGCTCTTTGCCGAGCTGTGTGAGTCCAGTGATGCACACGTTGACCAAGCCATCTCCCTTTACAAGCTGCCTCTGGAAACTAGAGAGTGGGTGGCTCCTGCTCAGTCGTCGAAGGGTCTCGACCAGATGACTACACCGCTGCCTATCACCCTCAAGCACAAGTTGGCCCAGTTGTTCGTGCGCAAGCATGATTCGACCGTTGAAGCCCGTTCCCTCTACACCGAAGAGTTCCAGCTGGCTAAGAAGAACCAGGGTTACTTCTCCACCACGACTCTCTCGTGGCTCCGTGAACTTGCCCTCGCCCATTCGCGACAGGGAACTACTTCTTCTGTTCAGCAGGGCAACGCCATTCTCCACGCCTACTCTACTGATGTGTTGCATGCTGACGGTGACACCGACACAATTGGTGACTGGGCCCGCCGGATCGCAAGCATCTACCTCGAGTGCGGCTTCATCGAAGGCGGCAACAACCTCCTCGATGAACTCCGCCAACGCGTGGTGTACAGCTCCGAAGCTTCCCCCGTTGATCTGAGGGATCGCCGCGACGCCGTATTTGTCGCTGCCTTCGAGGAAGTCTTCGGCAGACGCGCCAGCTACGACCAGATCATGAACGAGATGAGTCGCGAGATGACGAATTCTCGGGCCTTCTCTCAGAGTCTCTCTGGCCACGACTTCGTTCCCACTCTGATCGCTGGCCACAAGCTCTACAATCTACAGATTGGTCAAAAGCGAGTTCGCCCTGCCAACGACACCAAGGACAAGCTGTACGAGTACTTCTGCTCCAACCTTTCCGCCACCAAGGTCGCCGACAAGGAAGTCGTGCAGCAGTTCTACCAGATCTGTCTGCGTGAGATCCACAGAGACAACTACAACATGAACATCCTCACAACAACCACCAACCTCGTCCGTGATTTGTGCAACTCCTCCCGCTTCCAGGAAGCAACCATTCTAACAGGCGTGTTGCACTCCTTCCTGCACCTGACCGACGGCCTCAACAGCCAGGAGAGCATGGACACCGCCACCCAGCTCTGCCTGTACCTCAGCGGCCACAAGGCAACCAAATGCACCGATGAAAAGACCTACCAAGCCATGTCCATCAAGTCCAAGCTACTCCTGGAAGATGTCATGGCAACCTCGAAATCCTTGGGCATCGAGATGGTCGACCTACCCTTCAACCACCTCAACGACATCATCACCCTGCTAGGCCAGTACGAGATGTTCGAAGAGCTAGAAACCATCCTCACCCAACTCTGGACCTCCCGAATCGTGCAGCGCACCTGGACACCAGACGTGGTCGTATGGATCGGCCGACGACTAGTGGAAACCCGCTTCTGCCGCGGCAACGTCGATTCCGCCATCAAGCTATGTCGCGACATCTGCTACAACCTGCGTCAGGTGTGGGGCAGCTGTGACCCGGTCACACTGGACATGACCAAGCTTCTCTCGGCCCTGTTCACAGCCTCGGAGAACCACCAGTCGGCAGCGACTCTGCACGAGGGAATCCTGTACGACTTGCTCGGCGACACCAAGGCTGAAGGCCATGCCCGTGTTGCTGATACTGCCTCGCAGCATATGGAGTTGCTGCGTCGTGCCCAGACTCGTTTGGGAACTGGTCAGACGGCGAGACGGGCGTCTGCGCAAATGGAGCTGTTCCAGTCTGTGGTGGATCGTTTCGGTGTACAGTCTGAGCAAATTAAGAGTATTGGGGAGGCTAATGGTGGTGATCAATTTGGTGTTTGGTCTAAGCCTAGACGGTTTAGTATTGATGTTGAGGATATGGAGGAGGAGGTTCAGACGCACCACAACCATTTGCGTGAGACTAGCGGCGTTGGCTTTGGTGGTAGTGGTTCTCAGAGACGTATTTCGGTGCAGGCTCTCTAGGTATACATTGGGGAATTTTCATTTGTCTATCAAATATTTTGGGTTTGGGTTTATGTTGGCGTTTTCTGATTTGAAACATGTGAAGGACCAAATTGTATACCTTGTCCATACTGCAATTTAATATCAGGATCTATTGGAAGTTATGTGCGAATAGTCACTTGTACGATATCTCTCACCGTCGTAAGACTTGAATAATCTGATTAATATGAGGTACATTACACAGATGCATTACAATTAGTTTGATCATGCCATATTGGAGTGTCTTTAGCTAGGACAATTTCTAGACAGAACCAGCCCATTTGTAATGAGCTACGTTATGAATTGGAGAATCGATACATCAGAATCTAATTTATTATCTGCACAACGAACGTACATACAGTACTCAATAGTACTAGGCAATTGTGCATCCACCACATCGGTGATTCGACACCCGTAGCAGTTTGTGGATAAGAAATACATGTGTCTAAATACGCACTTAGTCTTGCCCGTTTGTACAGGACCACAGCGTGGTCATGTTGAAGGAATGTAGTGAAAAGCAAAAAACCCAATATGTTTGTTCATGCATGCCAGCCGTAAGGATCACAAAGGACCAAGCGCCAGGCGTATGATAAGAATGATCACCAGAGCCATAGCCTGGTCAAGCGGTCAATGCAAAGCTGAGACCCATCAACCCCATACCTGCAATAGCGAACCCAATTCCCATTCCGCGGTGATGGGTGAGACCAAGTCCCTCGCTGAAAAGTTGCAATGCAACTGAAGTCATGACTCCAGCGGTGGCAGCGAACATACCTCCATATATACCCCACGAGGGACCTGTGGCATCTTCGCTGCCGTGTTGGCCGGTGCTCCAAATCCAAAGTGCAGCGATACCAGCACCGGCCGGTTGGCTGATACCTCCCAGGAGGCTAGACCAGAACATTGCCTTCCAGCGGGAACCGAGGGCTAGGTAGAGCGGAAGCGCCATGGCGAAGCCTTCCACAATGTTGTGGATAAAAAGAGCCAGGAACACTGTCATACCGAGGGTTGGGCTGGCGTGGTTGGTGGCATAGGTGATGAACCCCTCGGGAAGCTTATGCAGGGCAATGGCGAGCGAGGTCTGGAGTCCAATGGAGAGGAATGCATTTTGGGGAACGTGATGGTGGTGGGGATTGCCACCGGCTGATTTGGGACGCTCAGAATCGATGTCGAGGTGTCCATGAGACTCGGAATGCGGATGATGCTCGGAATGCGAATGAGAGTGATGACTTGAATGTGAGTCTATGGTCTGAGACGAAGCGGACGAAGCAACACATGGGTGCACATCGTGATGTGCAGAGATGTTGTCAAAATATCCCCCTTCCTGTGTAGTAGGTGGATGTTCATTGCCAATGTCAGTTTCCGCGCGCTGAATTTCCGGTTCCAGGGGCACAGATATGCTTCCATGATGCAGCGGGTCTGGTCGCGCGGCTTCATTGCCGGCTAATAGCGGAAGCACTTTAGTGCATTCCTGGCCGCAGGTCTGAGAAACTCCGAAGCAAGGCCCGTCCTCGTCACAGGCGGATTTTACGCCACCCATGAGCGACGTAATGCGACGCGCCAGCATTGCCCGCATCGTCTCGCGGCGTCTGGGTGCCGGCTCAGTATGTTGGCTCCGTTGTACCACCGCCGGCATTGACTTGAATGAAGATGGCTTATTAGACTGCAAAAGCGGTGTTCGTTCATCATGTCCGGTTCGGTCCTCGTGTGTGGGCTCGCCGTGCTCGGGATCAAGTTCCGACTCGTTATGGGTATGGGCACAGTCGACAACATGAGATGGGATATATCTGTGTGCGAATGCAGATACTATTTGGATGCCTGCGACTCCGGCAAGGAAGAGACCGATCAGAATATATGCAGATACGGCGGGGGAGAAGCCGGCGCGGGTGAGGTACTGCTTTGAGGTGGGCAGCATGCTATACAGGGAGGTAAAGAGCTGCTTTGCATTAGTATAATTCAAGCATTCCTCTAGAAATGATAGCTCACCATGACTCCAGCACTGAGACATAATGATGCCGACAGGAAGTTACTACTGTTGGCTATCTGGAAGCTCTTGCGGCGGGAAAGCACCCGCACCAGCACATCAATGCAGATGATCGAGGAACCAAGGACACATGCTGAATATAATTAGTGGGGAAGATTTCAAAGCTTCTAAGCAACACTTACCAACGCCTGAGACGGCGCTCATCACCCACCCCCGGAGGTCGTTGGCAGACATGGCGTGGGGAGTTGAAGAGAATGGAAACGGTGATGTAATTGGCAACGGAGTTAGCGGTCAACACTTTGCCTCTCTCCCTCTATACAAGAAATAAAAATATCACGATATCCATGGATGGGGCTGTTTATAAGTTAAATCAGGTGCATTGTCTGAGGGTAGTGCGTTCACCCCCAAGGTTCTCACTGCACTTTTGCGACTTCCCCCCCCTCATAGCTGGGATCTGGGATATGGAATAGATGGTCTGGCATCGTGAGTCTCTGTGAGAACCCTCTGAGAACCCTCTGAGACTATGGGATACGGAGAAAAGGGTTCGACCTGAGTTTCATAAATACTGTCTCATTGCAATTGATCGGGTGATACTTGAGACTGTCTCTCATATGATAAAGGATGAAGGGTGCCCATATGCAAGGGGTTAATCATGTATGCAACTGACAGTATCTGGTGATTTGAACAATTTTAGACTCACCAGACTCGATGAATCATGAGAACGATGATAATCAAGAGAAACTAGAGAAACACGAGAATACATAAACCAAACAGCCCCCATGTAGAACACCCTGCAATAGTTCGGGGGTTTGCATGTGATGTGATTGGCCCGTGACTCCCCATCGTTTTTGTTGATCTTTGTGTTCCTGGCTCTCTCGACTCAACCCTCAGCCCTACCTAGGTAATTCCAAGGGACACTCAGCCATGTCCAAAGCAACTCTGGCAGTCATTGCTGCCGCCAGTGCAGCCACCGGAGCTGGTGTGACCGCGCTGCTCTTCTCGGGCAAATCCTCAAAGCCCCAACAAGAGACTCTCACTCCGACACCGACGACCCCAGGCCCTAAGCTGCCCTCAACCATCCCAGCCCCGGCCTTAGCATCCAAACTAGCCACTGGTCCTGTCGATGCAGCAGGAATCCTCCAATATGGTTTCCCAGGCCCAATCGCCGACGAGCTCTCCTCCCTCCCATTGCACGGCGCCTACGACCGTCGCACCCGCAACCCATCCTGGGTCGCCGAACACATCACACCCGAATCTCTAGCGATTAACAACGCGGATCGGAAGAAGAGCACATTCTTCGAGGACACGACCATCCCGGCAATGTTCCGCGCCAAACTGTCCGACTATTTCCGCTCGGGCTATGATCGCGGACACCAGGTGCCGGCCGCAGACGCAAAGTGGTCGCAGGATGCGATGGACGGCACGTTCGCACTGAGCAATATGTGTCCGCAGGTCGGAGAGGGTTTCAACCGTGACTACTGGGCGCACTTTGAGACTTTCTGTCGTGATCTCGCTAAGCGTTATCCATCCGTTCGCGTCGTTACGGGTCCCCTGTACCTGCCTCACCGTGACCCGGATGGAAAGTGGCGCGTTAACTACGAGGTTATTGGTAACCCGCCTAACGTCGCTGTGCCCACGCACTTCTATAAGGTTATTTATGCCGAGGATGGTACCAACTCGCCTACCAGCAAGGTTGCGCTCGGTGCTTTCGTTCTGCCCAATGCTCGCATTGCGAATGACAAGCGTCTGACTGACTTTGAGGTTCCTCTCGAGGCTGTTGAGCGTGCTTCTGGTTTGGAGTTCGGCTCTAAATTGGACCTCGGTCGTCGTCGTCGCTTGTGTCAGGAGGTGTCTTGCTCGATCACTGTGCGCGAGTTCAACAATGCCAAGAAGCGTTCTTGAATTTGAGGGTGCAGATAAGAGAGGAGAGAGACTGGTTTCGTCTGTTGACTTCTCGTATGGCTTCACTGTATATCTAGAAACATTGTATTTGCATGGTTCGGGCGTTAATAACCGCTCCGGGCGGCAATATCAGGATATTTTTTTATCGTACACATAATAGAAACCCGTGGTGTTTCATGTTTCTTTCTCGTTTGTTTTATTATTACGAGTTGCTCAGCACTGGAATGCAACTCCGGTCTTCTTTCCCATATTCCCACCTTTGCTAGCAAACCCAGTCCCCTCGGAAGAGATCTCCACCAGACCAGGCTGAATAGCATCCTTATCCTTCTTCTTAGACTTCTTGCTATTCCCATTCCCATTGCCATTGTCGTCTGGTTTTGACTTTGCCGTAAGATCTGTCTCACAGACGAAACATAGAACCTGGCCATGGAGAGCAGCAGTCTTCTCCTGCTCCTCCTTCGAGGCATGTGGATCGGGAACGTGGTGTTCGTGGGGAGTCATGAATTTCATAACACACGGAGAGCAAATAACATGCCCGCAGGGCTTTGTGACTGTCATGAGAGATGATTAGCAAGACCCAATTGCCGTACCGAGTTCCATTCCACATACGCATCGCCTTGAGCCCATTGCTCAAATTCTTCTTGCAACTCGGACACACCCTGGACACAGTCCCGTCGGAAGCCTTCTCCTCCGTGAAATTAACCTCAACAAGTGACTTGAGCGAGTAGTTATGCCGGCTCTCATCCGTCGAGCCAGGACAAACAGGCGTCAACTTGACGGTCTTGTTGGCGGCGATTTCATTCGCGTCCGTGTTGGGCGTTAGAGACGGGACCCAGAAGGACGGGAGAGCAGATTTGCCATTCGACTAGAGCAAAGTTGTTAGTTCAAAACAAGCTCCCAATTGAGGACAGAAGCTTCAATCTTCAAGCTCTAATCTCCAGCTCAAAAGAACAAGCACAAACCTTCTCTATCTTCAACTCCCTCCTCAACCTCTCCCTCTCCTCCCCAGCAACACGAGCCATCTCCTCATCCCCAAGCTCAAAAACCCTCTTCCTCTTCCCATCAACCTCAACCTCCCTAGCCTTAAACTTCTCCAAAGCCTCCGACTCCTCCGCCTTGCGCTTCTTCCCACCCTTATTCTCCAATCCCATAGAAACAAGCTCGAAATCCCTAAGATCCCTCTCCTTCATCTCCGCCAGCGATCGCTCCTCATCCTCCGCAATGCGTTTCCTCGCCTCGTCGCGCTCTTTCTCAAGCCGTTTGATCTCCTGTCGCTGAGAGAGGAGGTCATTGATTGCGCATTCACGGCAGAAGAGGTCGCCGTTGCTGGCGCATGCGACTACAGGTGCGCGCGCGGGTTGCAGACATAGACGACAGGAGCCGAAGGTTAGGAAGCTGTCGCGGCCGATTGCGCTGCGTTTTGTGCCCCAGGTTGAGCGAAGAAGACCGCGTTCGTAGGAGGTAAAGTGGGGTAGGGAGGTGTTTCGCTTCGAGTGCGCCATTTTGGGTGTGGTTGGTGTGGGAGTTGATGGGAGGTGAGGGTGGCTTTTTGTAGCTTCGTAGATGTCGTAATGGGGTTTTTAGTCGGGAATTTGGGGGCGCGGGTGGAGGGTGGGGACTTGGGATTGGTGCGTTGGTTTACCGCCTATCCCACCGCTTTATCAGCCCTATGCAACATTGTCGGGTCTATGAAGAGCAGGGATTGTATGCTCAAGTTCCTAGTGAGAACAAGTATTACTCCAATATGTACTTGTTGGGTGCAATTGTTTACATTTAGGCTTGCAGACACTGCGGCAAGCAATAAGAGGTATCAAATCAATCATTGTCAATCATAATTCGCTTTTGTCTATCAGTGATTCCACAAGCCTCACACTCGAAAGAAGCGTAATCGAAATGAAATAGCGAAAGAATAAGATATCAAAGCACGCCCATGAATGCGGCCTGTCATACAGATCTAATTCAACGATCTGACAGTAAATGAATAGAGTTCCCAGAAGCACAAACGCAGACGCGGACGTAAACAGATGCTCAAAAACCCAGACCGAACCGAAAACCTGTCGCGAAACCGAGATTCACCATATGTTAATGCAAGGGGCAATAAAGAAAGTCAACCAGGAAAAGACAAAGTGAGATGCAAGAGTGTGAAGAAAACGGGGTATAATAATCGTCAAGCAGAAGATCAAGATGAGAATGGTTAGAATGTACAGAAGAAGGCAAAGAAAGATGGGGGATGTAGAATCAGGCGCCTACGGACTGCTGGCGTAGGTTTTCGCTGGATGGCGTATCGACGATGCGCTCGTTGATGGATGTAGAAGAGGGGGAGGGGGAGGGCGAGCCGTCTGGTCTCGGTGCAGAAAGATGGCCGTATATTGTGGATGAAGGGGAGTGGGGGCTATGCTCAGCGTTTAGGAGAGCTGCATCTAGAGTCGGGGGCGAGGTGAAAACTGGGGAAGCCGGGCTCCCGATGTCCTCTTCCGGTTGCTCTTCCTGCGCATCCTTGAACTCTGCCAGATCGTCGTTGGTGCGCACACTTAGACCAGTGGTGGTGCTTGTTCTGCGAGCCGAGTGAGGACGTTCCGGGCTGCGGTCGGTCATAATCGACTCGCCGCTGTCCAATATAGCAAGATCTGACGCCCGTGGCTCTTCATGGGGGGTGGGCTTGCGGAGCTTGAGGCGCTCTTCCGGGGGCATGTTCTGCCATTCAGACCCGAATGTGACAATGGATGCTTTCTTGCCATGGACGGTGAAACTGGGGGCTTTGCGGGGAAGGATTTCTGCCTCGCCTGAGAGTTGATCGTCCTCCTCCTGCCCAATGCTGGATATTGAGCCCCGTTTCTTCTTCGAATGTGAGTGGTTTCTATGAGCATGCGAATCACGGAGGGTGCGATGAAGGCTGCGACGGACGCGACTATGTCTATCGCTTTTATCATTCGTACTTGTCTCGCCCTCGGTGTCTTTACCAGGCAGTGCGTCAGGGGCGATCCATTCATCCTTGTGTGTCGACGGGGATGCCGGCAGCTCCAGTAGACCGGCTTCCCTTAGAACGCGCTCCTCGCCGTCATCGAAGCTCACAGGCGATGTCAGTTTCGATGTGCGAGAAGCCAGACTAGCTCCATCCCACCGGCTGAGAACCGAGGCTTCACGGTCAAGTTTAATTGTCTTAGGATCGGGTGAGTATGACTTGGCACGTTCGGGAATGGTCACAGCGGAGCGTCGACGACCAACACGAGCAATGTCAGCTGAAGTGACAGATGCTGGGATACTGGGACGACGCAGTTCATCATTCCAAGGTTTAGCCAGCAGTCCAGCGTCCGAGGGCTGCTCGGGTTGAGCAACATTAGGCTCGACGGTATCGGCGCTAGAAACGGTATGCACAATACTACTGGCTTTTTCCACGCTAGGCTCCGATATCATGGACGGCCCGGAAGAGGCGAGGCGTGCTCCGTCCGACTGGGATGGCGTTGGTTCAGCAACCGACCCGACCCTGCTTTCCGCTGCCTCGTCATCCTCTCCTAGGTCTCGTAGGAGAACCTGGCGGTAACACTTGCTGCGCCAGATATCCTGTCTCGCCCATTTGATCTTGGCAGACAGGCGGCCTGCAGCCATGATGACGCTCTCGCGAGCCCGAGCATGAAGAGGGGTGAGCACTTGCAAGTGCCGGGCATTTTGTAAAAGATCATCGAGTTGTTTTTGTGACAAGGCGAGCTTTTCATTTCTCTCCCGAATTTTGTGGCTCATCAATTGTCGTCGCGCCGCAACAAATTCGGCAACAATATCGGTATCGATGCTGGGAGAAGGGGGCTCGATGTCTGTCGACTGGTGGGACTTTTGTGAAGATATTGAGTTTAATCGCTGACTCTTGCGGTATCGTTGTCCCTCATAATTTGTGGCAATCATGCCCTTGGTGCGAACACCAGTGGTCCTGAAGGCTGCAGCATAGTTGAGGTGTGCAAGCCAGTCATTCATGTCAGGCTCAGAGCTAGCAAGGAACGTCTCCTCCAACGCGTTGTGTCGAACAAAGATGAACGCATGCTTATGCTTCTTATAACTCGAGTCCAGGAGGGCAACTGTGTCGCCAGTGGACACGATGTTGTCCGGCTTGAATTCAGCAAGGGGTGGATTGAAAACAAGAGTCCCCCGACGGCCATTCTTGACATATGCCTCATGCTGTGCCATGAGTGAGCGCACCCAATTCACATTGCGGAAGAAGTAGAGTTGGGAGAATGTGAGAATCGCACCCCATTCCTGCCAGGGCGACCTGGCTTTCTTTTTCTTCGGGTCTTTCCGCCAAAGCAAGCCGACCTTAGCGACTTTGATGTCTACTAGACCGGGATTCGAGTCTTGTGGACTGTCCAAGCTAGCAGGCATGAATGCGTCAGGACGAGAACGCAGAGAGATGATTTGCAAGATTCCAGACTTGGTGAAGGCTTGGTGAAGAGCATCCATGTCCGGTGGCCCAGCAGTTCCGAAATGATTATATGTATCATCCAGATCCATGACATCCTTCAAGCTGGGGCGTAGGGATGCCAATTTGCCGTCCAGAATAAGCGCATAGGGATCGACAGGCTCCCGTGCAATGCGGGCTAAATTTTCGGAGCTAGTGCTTTTGAATAGAGTGCGACGTGGTTTCGCCAAGTGACGGTCAGGCATATTGGCGTCTTCGACACGAATGAAGGGTGTGTACGAGATGTTCTCATAGAAACACTCAAGAATGTCCTCCGAGATTCCCTCACTGCGACTTATTTTAACATAGTCCGCCTTTTGCATCTTGCGTTTGTTGTTCTTATTGAAGACGTCGGTGTGAAGAATCAAAAGTGAAAATGCAATGAAGTATGCGTTATCAGGAGCCGTGAAAATGCCTGGGTTGCATTCGTGATAGCGGTCAGCAAATGCTTGCACGAATCGATCAATCTGTTGTGTTTCTTTCGGGAGCTCGACTTCCATCAAAAGCTTGCGGATTGCCATGTCGAGTGGGTCACCGAAGTATGAGAAGGTTCTCATATGTTTTCGGAGACAGATCTTGTAGAATTCCTCCTCTGATTGAGCGAGGACTCCCGCAATCATGCCACGGGGAAGAGCTTCTTCCAAACGGGTCAGATATGAAGCGGGTGTGTCGATTTCCTCCCGCTTTGGGATTGCTGGTAGTTCTTGCACGGGGGTGGAGGCACCACCTATCGTGGGAGAGCCGTGACGAGGAGAGGGTGGGGACGAGTTTTGCCTTAATCGCTGGGTGATATTGAACATATCACCGAAACTCTTGCGGCCACTGGTCGAAGTGGAGGTGCGCGCCGAAGATGCCAAATACGGAGGTATGGACAAGTCGTCCTGGTTCTCGGCCAGCGATCCCATGGTAGACGAACGTCCTCGGTTCTTAAAGGAGGGATTGGATCGGACTGAGCGAGCGGAATTCGTTGAATCATTTCGAAATAGCGGTGGTACAGTCGAAGCAGCGAGTCCCACGGTGGAACGAGATGGCGATGGTAGTGGTGAAACTTGGTCATGGCCATCTGAACCCTCGGATTTTGGGGTATCTGCTGGGGGAAACTTTGGTCGATTATCCACACCTGCAGCCGGGTGCGAGACTTTGGGGGGTAAGGGAAAGAGAGGGCTCCGGGTTCGTTTCAAGCGTGGCATGCGGAATCGCTTTGCAGCAGTGGCACTTTGACCATCACGAGGGGAAACGGTTCGGCTGATTGTCTGGTCACCGTAGCTCTGGTCTGACCGAGACGATTCGGAAAACCGGGGATCAATGACTGACGAGCGCTGAGAGTCGCTGGGCTGCGGGGTCCCGCTCCGAAGTGAGTTGGTTGACAAGCGTCCAGGCTCTTCGGTAATGCTCCGGGACATGGCAATCGTCGAGTCGGTAACCTGGGAGTCGGTTGATCCCTGGCCCCTCCTACGAGGCTTCGCGGGTTGTTCCATTGATTTCCGAGACATTTCCTCCATGGACTGTTTTCGTGACGATGGTCGAAAGCTGAGCTTGGGTCTCTGTTTCACAGGCTGGTCGAGCTCCTGACTGGTTGGGGCGGTAGTAATAATTTTGGGAGCTTTATCCAGCAGGCACAGTTAACCAACCCATCCTAATAAGCTTTGGGGTTGTCAATGTTTCACTTACGAGGCAAGGAAGGGACCGGGGGAGTGTCCTGGCCCGCTTTGGCGTAGGACTTGGATAGTTGGGGGTCAGATGCATGTCGTAGTCTCATGAAGCTGAATCGTTTGTGGCGTAAGCTGGGACGGTCGTCTGAGGATGGTCCTGCAACGCCCGACTCAGCTACTCCATGGTTGAACCCGTCGTCGTCCGGCGGCCGAAGTCCTGTATTTACTTCTTCTGGTAACTCGGATGGGCGAGGAATTGACTCGGATAGTCTAGGTTCGGCGGGGACGAAGGGACGAGGAAGGTGTTCACTGCGACGTGATTGGCCTTGAGGCTCCGTGGTGTTCTGCCTCTTGCCATCGGCCACGAGACGCAGTCCTTTCCAATGCATGGTGAAGGACAAAGCGTTAGGATAAACCCAAGCTAATGATCCATGAAATGTAACACGTTAGATGGGAACTGAAATAGAGAAGGACATTGCCTAGGTGGATCCAGACGCGGTGGGATCTGGAGGTCAGCGCAAAAAGGGGAACGCCGGAAAGGGAAACGTTCTAGATTTCTTGTTTCTGCCGCCACGCGTATTTTTCTTTTTCTTTTTTCTCTCTCTTTTTTTTTAGATCATACACAAAAATAGATAGAATAAGAAGCTAGAAGAAAAGGAGGCCAAAAGAATACTATGAGGGGCAAGGCAGACAAGTTAGAATTCAGGTCTGAGCGTCGGGTAATTGACCAGGTTTATGTATAGAGAGGATGAAAAGGAACGGGGTTGATGTAGATATGAGTATTTAAGGTACATGTACGGATCAATTTAGCTTCAGAATTAAATTGTGCAGATCAAAATAGCCCTGCAGACCAATATGTGTTTAAATAATGGTCTAAGCATTATGTTTCGAGTATAACGTTGGAGTAGATCGAGTATACCCAAAAGTACTGGCCACTGACGTAGAACAAAAATAACCGCATGTCATCTTCTTTTATCCGGATGTTAATCGATAGGACAATTCCTTTTTCATTCTACTTCAACTTCTTAATGTCATATTTAACTTAATACTTGTGGACTATATCTGCCATCGTTATCTCTTCCCCGGCGCTTTGTCCCCGCCCTTTTTTTCTCTTCTCCGCATGCGAAAAAGGCTCTCTCTCTCTCAGATATCCTGAACCTCCCGAGGGTTGAACCGAAGAACACCAACTCTCCTCTCTTCAAAGCCGGTGATTGTGACTCGGCATGCGTCTTTTTTCTCCTATATTGGTCGCGTCGACCTTGATCCCTCTTATCTCTGCCGTCCCCGCTGGTTCAAGCATCACCCCGCCGCCACCTCTGCAGCCTTCCCACTTCACTCATTCCAACCCACGCCCATGGGGTCGACTTCGCGACTGGGTAATTGGCTCGATATGGGATATTGACCACAAACGCTGCTCTTCAAAACATTCACCGCCATCAAATATCCACGATCGGTATGGGAGTGATGTCGTCCTCCGATTTCATTTGCGCCAGGCGGACGAGGCAGAAGCATTAGCTGCCGCCTCGCAAGTGCTGTTTTTGGACATTTGGGCCATAACCTCGAAATTCGTAGATATTAGACTTGCAGATGATATGGTGCGCTTTTCTTCTAGACGCTTTATTATCGTGCCACTAATTATTTTCTTAGATCCCTTCCTTGTTGGACCTACTACCTTCAACACTTCGCACCTCCTATACTCCCCTCATGGACAACCTCGCCGACGAGATATACGCCTCTTACCCCTCCCGTCACCGTCCCGACTCAGACTTCAGATCACGAATTCCATCGGGTGAACTGAAGACGATATCGAACGGCGACCTCTTCTTCCAAGAATACCAGCCGCTCTCCGTCATTACGCAATGGATGCGCTTGATGGCATCAATGTTCTCCTCACACGTAAAGATGACCAGCGTGGGAGTCAGCTACGAGGGTCGCGATATCCCAGCATTGCGACTCGGCATCTCTCCCGACACAGAAACCAAATCGGGCCCGCGCAAGACAATCGTGATCGTCGGCGGTTCTCACGCCAGGGAGTGGATCAGTACGTCCACAGTAACATATGTCGCATACAGCCTCATCACCCACTTCGGCTATTCGCCCGCAGTAACACGATTGCTGCACGAGTACGACTGGGTCTTAATCCCAACCCTCAATCCCGACGGATACGTCTACTCATGGGAGTCAGATCGCCTGTGGCGCAAGAACCGCCAGCCAACGGGTCTTCCACTGTGCCCGGGCGTCGATCTAGATCGCGCCTGGGACTACGAGTGGGATGGCGAGTCGACTCGCTCGAACCCGTGTTCAGAGAACTACGCCGGCGCGGAACCATTCGAAGCAATTGAATCCCAGCGTCTGGCGCAATGGGCTCAAAATGAGACGGTTCATGGCCGCGCTGATATCGTAGGCTTCGTCGACTTACACTCCTACTCCCAGCAGATTCTATATCCTTACTCATACTCCTGTTCGTCTGTGCCGCCCACGCTCGAGAGTCTCGAGGAACTGGCGTTGGGTCTAGCCAAGGCAATCCGTCAGACCTCCCATGAATCGTATGACGTTACCTCGGCATGCGAGGGGATTCTCGCGGCTGCTGGGATTTCCTCGGGCGGCAGCGCGTTGGATTGGTTCTACCATAAGCTGCACGCCAGGTTTTCTTACCAGATCAAACTCCGCGACCGCGGTAGTTACGGATTCCTTTTGCCTTCGGAGCACATTGTCCCCACGGGCAAGGAGATTTTCCATGCTCTGCTGACTTTCGGCAAGTTTGTCTGGGGCGAGGAGGCGTCAGATCTCAGCTTCGAGGACTTGATGAGTGATCAGATACCTCTGGCTGAGAGTTTGTAGGCTTTTTCCTCTTTTGATGATTGCATGTTGACCTTACGAGCGAATTTCCTTTTTTTTAATTGCGGTACTGCTGGTGTTGCAGAGTCCCTGTACAGTATTTCGGCTATTCGAGCCTAAGAATGTAAAGATTGTAACGCTGAACATATTCCAATGTACCTGTAGGCTTTAATGTGACCCAATAGTAACCATCTGCTTTGAGCATTCACCGGCACTCGCGGACATCGCACTAGAGTTTCTGCTTGGTGACGACTGTGGGCGATGGGATCAACTGAGCAGCGGAGATCCGCTACCTCCCATGCAAACGTCGACATATTAGCTTGACAGATTGCCGTAGCTGTACTGGTGTTTCCACAAGTGAAAATACCAAAGATATCACTTGGACAAGTGAATATATTTGACCAGCTACTGGGGATCTCTGTCCAGATAGTCAAATTAACGATCGACAATAAGTTTCATTACATCTGGTCTCTCTTCTCACGGTATGGCAAATGTGCGGACAGTCTTCGGTTGGCCAGGACTAATTGGCACAGGCTCCACGATAGGCGATTTTATATCTCACACTGTAGCATAGCTTATTTCCAAGACATGTATTACCTGTCGCGCAACAGACTTTCGTTTTCGTCCCTGGACATTGCATTGCTCATGATTATATATTTATATACTACCGTCCGACCAGTAGCGGCTGCACGGCTCAGTGTTACGGCAAATATAAGAGTTCGAAGTAAAATCAAAATTATAATAATGGTATTTTATAGGGCCATCTTTGAGATGAAAAACATTCAATGTAAAGAAGTAGACGCAGGGAATTTAGAACAGGTGGATACTCGTGTCTGGAATTTATTTATCGGCTGGCCTGGAACTGATTATAATGTGCAACATGTTCGGCCTCATCGAACCTTGGGATTTCCCTGTCAGTCAAACATAGTTTATCTTCCTTCGCTGTGGAATGACAGCATCCTCAAGACCAATATTTTCTTCCAGTCGCCCTCAGTCTTCGATAATGTGATGGTATTGTAAAACCATGGAAAGCTACATGCATACGCTTTATTTCACAGAAGAAAACAATCATAGACCGGAAAATCATTTCTCATAATTGAAACATTTAAAGGTAAAGTAAGATATTAACAGCCCGTCGATGTATCCAACGACGAGCCAGATAACGCTCAATGTCCAAGGAACAAGATACAGGTATGTGTCCCACATCAGAAAAGCCAGGAGACGAATTTCTGGTAGAACCAGCCAGCGTTGTTGTTCCTCTCTGCCTCGGCCTCCTTTCTGGCGAGATACAGCGCCTCCTCGCGATCAATCTCGTCCTTGCCGGTGAAGAGATCAGCTGTCATGGGATCAACGCCCTTGCAGCCGGTCGCGAACTTGTATCCAAAGATCATAATGAGGTATAGAGGAATACCGAGGTAAGCGGTAATGAAGTTCTTGTAGTCGAAGTTTCCGTATGTTTTGGGGTTGTGGATGAAGACATCGAAGTTCTTAGTGAAAGCGATGAGGATGCAGAATGCCAGAGCGAAGTATGAGCCTGCGATACCGAGGGGAGCCTTATAGGCCAAGCTTTCCTCGGGGATACCCTGGGCTTTGCGCGCGCGCACGAAGTAGATGTGGGTGACCAGGATGGAGATCCAGGTGAGGAGACCGAAGATGGTGACCAGGTTCACGAAGTACTTGAACACGGTCTTGGAATCGCTGCTGACGTTCATGTAGCCTAGCAAGGCAATGGTGGCTGAGATAGCCAGTGCGGGGACGGGGACGCCACGGCGATCGGTGCGGGCGAAGATCTTGGGGGCCTTGCCTTCACGGGCCAGGCCGTAGATGGTACGGGTGGCGATGTACAGATCGGAGTTAGCTGCCGAGAAGACGAAGAGCAGAATACAGGCGTTCAGGATGTGGGACAGGACTGGGATGGCGGCGAGCTCGACGGCGACCACGAAGGGCGAAGCTGCGGCCGAGCCCTTCTTCGAGTTACCGTCTGAAAGGGCGAAGAGAAGACTCGGGGAGTTGTATGGAACAAGTGTGCCAACCAGGAGCACGCTGGTCACGTAGAACACCAGGATTCGGTAGAAGGTCAATTTGATCGCGCGAGGGATTGTCTTGCGGGGGTTCTGTGCCTCGCCGACCGTTACTCCGACCAGTTCAGTGCCCAGGTAGGCGAATGTAGCGGAGACCATCGTGGACCAGAAAGCCAAGAATCGACCAGGTGCTCCCTCCATCTTATAACTGTTGAAAGCACCTGGGCTCTTCCAGTAGCGGAAACCCTTGCGGTCATGGTCCGGTCCACCTCCAAGCATGAGAATGAAGGATAGGAGGATGATACCGAGGATAACAACGACCTTGAAGGAAGAAAGCCAGAACTCGAATTCACCGAAGAACTTCACACCGAAGTAATTGATGGCGACGACAATTACCAAGAATATGGTAATCCATACTCCGGCGTTGACTTTCTCTGTGGGTATCCAGTATGATATAACCAATGCACCGGCAGTCATTTGATTCGGTGATAGAATGATGTATTTGAACCAGTATCTGGATTCGTGTTAGCGAGATCCTCTCGAGGAAAAAAGGCAGTACGTACGTCCAACCGAGGGTGAAGCCAAGTGCAGGATCAACAAATCGGACGGCATAACCAGTGAAACCAGAGGGCAATGGCAGCCAAGCTGCCATCTCTCCAAGAGCGCACATAACCAGGAAAACGATGAATCCGACCCAAGCATAAGAAATGAGAATTGCACCGGGCTATTCAAGTTAGTAAGATTCACGAGCCAATTTCGGGGTAAGCACTCACGCCAGCCCTGAACGCAATTTTGTTAGCTTTAGATCTCAGAGTGAAATGTGTAGGAAAATCAAGCATCACTTACTTTGCAAGAGCTTCACCCGTTCCGATGATCAAACCAGTACCAATAGCACCACCGATGGCTGTTTACTGTCAGCACGTGCTCGTGTCCAAGTGAGAACTGTACGTACCAATCATAGTAATGTGTCTCGCCTTGAGCGCACGCTGCAGCTCAACATGGTTGGGGTCATTCAGGCCACTCCCAACACCTTGCTCAATCTTGCCATCCTCACTGAACTCCCTTGTGACGGTGTGGTCCGGGTATTCCTCGGCCTTGATAGACTTCTCCATTGTGTGTTCGACGCGCAGAGGTTTGCGCTGACGAGGAAAAAGCCCTGGTAAGAGATTAAAGAAATCCCGGATGTAAGACCAGGAAGACGGGGGGCGAAGAGGGATTAAATGGAAAGCCAAGAGCGGAAAGTACACAGCCCTGGAGAAAGATAAGCAGGGAGTAAGATCAAAATGACTGGAGGCTTGAGGGAAAATGCAATCAAATATGATACGACGCCTTGGGACTTGCTTAGCCAAGGCTTTTTCAAGTTCATGGGGTAAAATAATTTAATAAACCTCAGACCACACCTGCACAGTTCACTTGGCTTGAAAGCCTCTCCGAAGGGTTTCATCCGCGACGGGTTGGCTGTTTACGGTTTCGGGGGTACTGATACAATACCTGTAGGGCTGTGTTGAAATAGGGCTGTGCTTCTGATTTTTAATGAGGCTCTAGATTTCTTGAATACAGGGATACCTTCGAGATAATGTAGATAATTACTGTATACAGAAGTACACCCCCTGTATCAGATATGTCCAATTTCTGTTGAAGCTTGATATATTACAGAATACTACTCCAAGGACACGGGCAAAGCGGAGACATTGGCGCCAAGATCGAACACTATGGGCCTTTGCGGGGAGCGCTTTTCATCGGCATTCGCCGGAAAATTTTAGGTTGCCCCATTCCCCATATTTTAATATGAAGCTTTTCAGTTGTTTACCTACGTACATTTGATATTTACGATATCAGAATTACACTGTTTACATGTTTTATAAAAAGGATGTTGATCCACAATGCATGAAAAAGAAGCAACGAAACCCATATCTGTGACTCAGCAACCCGACTGATAGCCCCATTCGTGGAAAGAGCCCTTATCAAGCCCAACCCTAAACAGTATGTGCATGGCCATTGCCAAGGCCGAATTCCATCTTTGCCCGTGAATACTAACCTCAAGCCGGGCGAGATGCACGTTTTTCGAGGCTGGGCATGTGCCAAGACTGTTCGCGTATGGCTCAACCAATCCTTATCTCTCTTGGCGGGCGCCCGGGTGCTCAGCGTGGCCTGCTCATATCAAGGTTAATCTATAGGAGAATTTTTGCTTAGCGGAAGTTTATGCGGGATATTTTTCTGGAAGATCTTGGATTGTGGCGAGGGCTTGGAAGGATTGCCCCAGTGGCTTTGGTCAAGGCTGCGCAACATAAGATAATACGAGGCATCCGGGCGTGGAAGTTCCTCGGATCTCTGCTACGTACCTGTAAAGTCTATTCTATACGTACTCCATAGTTCCACCGAAGATGTTGATATTTTAGCTTCTTCGATTCTGTGTATGTGGTATGTGTCAACACACTGTCACGGTGCTTATCTTCCGTTTGTTTCTAGGCTACAACAGTGGAGATGCCCAGCCTAAATAGCAAACTTTCAATCCTTTGTGCCGCTTTTTTGTACTTTGCCGTGTGTCGATGGAGTCTCCAAGGCGCATACCTAGCTCTGAGACAAGGTCCAAGGTTTGATAAAAGAGAAAAATCGCAAGGCTGGTATCGAAGTTGGAGCGCTGTTAGAAGGAAAGCCCGGGATACCTAAACTCTATATAAGACATTTTCGTTTTCCAGTATAGACTTTGCTATAACAGAGAAACATTATCTTAACCTCACGGAGGCCCTGAATACACACGGCTGGTATTCCGGCTCGGTAATCAGCTGAAGAGCCAAAGTTTCAGAATAAATAAAAATAGAGGAGGTATCCAAATTCTATATATGAGGTCTCAGAGGCCTATTATCTGAAGTGAAGGGCTATGATATAGAAGTAATGTTTCTAAGAATGTTATTAATAGCCTAGATTAAGAAGAGGGTACCCATAATTCAGAGATATAGTAAGAGAAAACGTATATAGAGGTAGACAGTATAGAAGGCTCTAGGGATAGAATGCTCGAGCTAGTTTTATCAAGTTGCAAAGTGACAATTTGATCGAGTCGGGGCATGCCTAGGTATTCCGATAATGATAAAGATTGTAGTAAAAAGAAAATCGCGCTTGCTGGGACTTCATCCAAGCTGCAGCATGCCATCATATTTCTTGAGAGTATGGAATTGCGTCTAGTCAAAGCTTTAGGGCACGATCAAGATGATCATATGTTGGAAGCAACAGAGGCCAGACAAAAGCAGCCTTATGCCAATGCGGCAGTGGTTAATCCATATCCAATAGAGTCAAGTTGCACTTCCTTCTCGGGATAACGTGGAATAAGAGATAGCACCATCTCATTGAAATCGGTGAAAGACGATTGAATTGACAACGCCGCGCTTTCGAAGACAGGAGGATATGCACCGGAATATGCCCAATCAATCAACCACACTCGTCCATGCTGATCTAAGACTAGGTTTCGAGGGCTGATATCGTGATGTGTAATAACAAACTTGGTAAAGTGGAATGGTGGTGTGTCTTTTGGAGCTTTACGGACGCTCTTGCAGATATCAAGTTTGTGGTTAAACCACCCTTCCATTTCAGCTGTGTCCATAAAAGGCCCGGCACTATAATCTGTGAAGAACAGACCCCGACATGGCCCTCCACCGATAGGACCAGGCTGTAAAAGCTCAATGGACTGCATCTCTTTGATCATTTCAGCAATCTGCGAGGCGATTTCCCCTTGGGTACCAAGCGGCAGGCCGGCCCAGCATTTATCCAGAGGTTGGCCTTGGATAAAGTCCATCACAATATACCCGCATGTGCCAAAGTATAGCGTATCATCTTTCACCTGAAATGATCGATGGACTCGTGGGACTCGGATGCTAGCTTTGGAAGCAAGGAGGCTAAGCATTTTCGCCTCACTAGCAAGGACGCTTCCACCACCCTTCATAACCAACTTCTTAGAAAGCCGCACAACTGTTGTCCCACCTAGCTGATGAAGAATAGGAGCAGTTGTGAGAAGGGCTGCCAGAGCCTCATCTGTGACGGAGTTCAGATCCCTTTCACATAGTGGGAAGATTCCATTAGGGTCACGACTGTGTGGCTTGGTGTTGTTATGTTAGTAGATGCTACTTGAGCGCGTCATGATTCAACATACATGGGTGATTGGGCGTATGAGTGGTTCCATTTCAGTAGATGATGGCAATACGAACAAGCAAAGAAACGTTCCTAAGGCCAACAAAGACAAAATTGCATGATCATGTGATGAAAGATCAGAAAAATACTTTTCCTACTTCTGGTTTACCGATAAAGGATAATAACACTAAGGTTAGTATGGAAGGTGGAGCAGTGTCAGGAGGAAAGCCCGGGATATACTCGTTTTCCAATCTCAGCTATGACAGATAAACATTACCTTGGAGTAATCTCATAGGGCCCTGAAGATACAGCAAGTAAAAAGGAATATGGAGGAAGTATAGAAGGGCTCAGCGATAAGATGCCCGAGCTATTCATATCAAGTTGAAAAGTGACAATTTGATCGAGTCGGGGCCTGCCCAGGTATTCCGATAATGCCAAAGATTGTACGGAATAGTAAATAGAAAATCGCGCTTGCTGGGTGTTCATCCAAGATAATCGAGTAAATTAAGCTCAATTGAGGTGATGGTGAGATGATCTAGAGCATACATAGGTGACGTGGAAGACGATAGCCCCCAACCAACAACACATCAACAAGCCAATCAGGCTTTAGTTAGGGTCACACCGATACAGAGGAGGAGGCTCGTGGGAATCGGGCACGATTCAGCCTCATGAATATTCCCGAAGAAGCGAAGATACCGGTTAGATCGGTTGTTCATTCGTCTAGAATCACGAGTCACAGCTGCAAGTTGCGACCCACAGGGCTCCGATTCATTACCAGCAACGTGGCTTTGGAAAGGCGGAATCATATTTCCTGGTCAGGAGCAACATTTGAGGGGATGTAGAGCCACTATATGCAGGTCTAGTGCAGTTAGCTTGAGGGGACCAAGGGTTTGGCTAGGTTCTGCCTCTCACATGGGAGAATCAGCCGCTGTGTTCAGCCTCCTAGGAGCGAGGGGTATCCCGGGTTGGGTTTAGGGGGTGAATTAGTGGCAGCGGGTCTTTGTTGGTGCAGCTAGGGGATCTGGAATGGAGGGGATGGCTCGTATTTACTTCACTAGGTGGCACCACCGAGGACACATGCACAATAGCGACCCCTGTTATTCGACAGAGTACACTTCATACCCCACAACAACTTGTATGCAGTGACTGAGAAGAACTAAGCCAGTCAAAATCTCATAATATCCGCTGTTGCTTCGAAGCTAGTGCAAGTTACCATTATCAAAGCAGGTTCCTGTAAGTACGTCCGAAGCTAGCAGCTGGGAGACATTCTCAGCCTGTCGATGAAAGGAAGCGTTACCAATACTCTGGATGGTGGAAATGTGATCAAGGTGCAGGTGGGGGCCGTTTGGTCTACAAATCCAATGTCTTGAAAGTGTGCTGTGGCGTGCATAAGTGCGTTAGGGCAGCGATCAATAGAGGTCGTTTATTGGGTGGTGAACGCCCCAGCGGTTACAAGTATTTTTTTTATTTTTATCGCGCTGATCGGAGGATTATGATTCGTTGAATGACGGTGGAATTTACTATCATTAGAAATACTTAATAGTAGTTAATTTGACGGTTTTCCATGTTAAGACTTGAAGAGATGCGGGGGGGATTGATTGTTGATTCTCCTGTCGTCCCCTATATCAGGGCCTGGCGGCAGTCGACCATCTAGAATCCTTCAACTTCCAGCCCTTCAATCAAAAAGGGGCTTCCCCTACTTTGTATATCGATCTCAAATCAATTAATCAACATCATGGGTGTTATGCGTCTCCCCCGCCCAACGGGCATCTATGTCCCCAATTCACCAAGAACCCTCACCAACGACATGATCTCCCCACCACTCTCTCCAGAATTCAGCTTCGATTCTGAGACTGTAACACCCTCTCTTATCCCAGCTCTGGAATACATCTCCTCCAAACTCCAACAAAGAATGATGCACATCACCCTCCTCATCGGCCGCGGAAAGCCCTACCCGACCGGGCAACCCTCCGACCTAATGATCATCCCCATCCATCCAATCGAGTCGCAAGCATGGCGCGTACTCGAACGTGCCATTGCCAAAGGCTCGAGAAAGTTCTCACTCGGCCCCAGCTGGACAGACGCCATCAGCCGCAGCCAGTATGAGCGCCAGGCAAACGATCACCTCGTCAAGCAATCCATCCTCCAGAACGAAGTTATCTTCAGCCAGGAGGGTCTAACTCTCCTGAATATGGACCGTATCTATACTTTCAAGCGCCGCATGTGTATCCTCTCTACCCGTCCCTTCTCCCGTGACGACGAACAATCAATGTCATCTTGTGTCCACCTACTCCACCGCATCGTCCGGGATTTCTCCAATCGCCCCTTCAGCAAAGCTTTCTTCCACCGCGTCTATGAACAACTCGATGTCCCAGATGAGCAGCTCACTGCTGCCGCAGTTGCGTACAAGAAAGTCCACAACCAGGATGCTATCATTCTTCCCGTCCAGGCGAAAGCTCCAGCTCCAGCTCCGGCTCCAGTGCCAGCTCTAGGTTTAGCTTCGGCTCCAGCTTCGGTTCCAGCTTCAGTTCCAGCTTCAGTCCAAGCTTCAGTTCCAGCCAAGATCGAAGCCATTGTTCCAGCAAAGGTCACAGAAACCGTCCAGCCTAAAGTCCAGGCACAGGTTCAAGCAAAGGTCCTACCCAAAGCTGCTGAGCGAGCCATTTTGAAGCCCAAGGCTGATCCCATCCCTATCCGGGTGAAGACCGAACGCCCTCGTGAAGTGAAGAGATCACCCATCCAAACTGTTCGCGGTCGGAGAGTGCCTCCACCGTCGAAGATGCGAGGATACAATAAGCGTGGACCCAAGACGCCTCTTTCGGCGTCGGATGTTACTCCCATCACGCGGAATGAGTGGAATATTCTTGTTAGCCAGGATATTCGTATTCAGCCTAAGGTTACCAAGTGGATTCCGTCGCCGACTGTTCTGGCCGCTGCTTGAACTTGAATTTTGGGTTGATTGATGCACAGAACAATTCACTGTTATATCTATAACAAACTACTGAGACCTTCTCGCGAGGGTTGCGTCTTACTCATGGCTCACATGCCACCCCCAGGCCGCCTGGGTTTGGTTGAGCTGGACCATGAAGACACAGACGAGCACTATATCTAGGCCATGTTGCTAGATTGTCTCTATGTCTTCCCCATATCTGATTCCACCAATGCTGGACCTTTATAGGCCATTTTGGTGAAGGACAGATTGGCCAGTCATAACATACCGGGTGCAAAGGACCCTGGTGTCTGGACTGGCGCCAAAGACTCCTTGGCACCTCAATGATGATATGATAATGATTTCAAAAGCTTTTAATAACGGAGGGAAATACCAAATGTTGCGATTCAATTCACATTGTATATAGTTCACTTCTTGGAAGATGTCCATACAAAGTTTTAATCAACCAATCGGACATTATCACAATCCATGTATATCCAAGTAGAACAACCAGTCAACAAACCATAAAACAATTAAATTATCCACAGCCCTAAGCAAAGCAAACCCTGTTGAGACGAATCGGCATCCTAGTTTGCCGAGCAGCCATATGGCCCCGCTTAAAATTCGGCGACCGGCGAACTGAGCCCGCTACGCACCCAATCACAGACACGAGAGGGGATTTATAGTAGGTGTTGAACATTAAAATTTGAAGTATTGAAGCTATTAGCAAATGAGAATCCAAGCTGTGAATAATCCTTGGAGGTTTCCTATCAGCATCGGAAGTCGCCGTTATTCGACATAGCACACAACACCGGCGTTTTGAATGGGATGTGGATATTCATGACATCTCGAGCACTCCGGGATTCGGCTAAATCATGCAGAATCCTACATGTACACGTACGCGAAGGAGAAAGTTGCCCGAAAGGACATTCCCAGGTTGACTACAAGGATGTATGTAGGCTTGGCAGAACCGGGGCTTGGCGGGGTTATCTAAAAAGTTTAAGAGCTGCAAGCGTATAGGAACCCCTCTTCTGTGTTTTTGAAGTTTTTTAAGATCATCTTTCCGATAGAAACTTGGATATTGTTACAGAAATTTGGTCTGTCGATATCGTTATGTCGGCATTCAACGAGCCCGCAGATATAGACTCGCGCAGTCTAGACAGCGACCGCAAATGGAGTCTGCAGCCTCTTCTTCGCAGTGCTGAGCGCTCGCATAGCAAAATGCCGGGTATTAGGAAGATTCCTCTTCGTGCCATTGGAATTATTGCCTTTATTGCCTTGTTGAATATTATAGTTTGGGTGGCCGCGGCTATTGTGCTGGTATGTTTGGATAAGCTGTGTGACATTGGATTGATTCGCTAATGCTTCTATAGAGTTATCATCCGTGAGTCTTCGTTGTTGGATATATAAGTGTTTAAAGACTATCTCATATGCTAAATTCTGTGGAATGCAGTTCGCTGGTCTCTACAGCTGCCCTAGCCTATTCTCTTGGATTGAGACATGCATTCGATGCAGACCATATTTCTGTATGTCGAATTCAGCCTAAAAACAGGATAAATGACTAACGATGATGTTTATAGGCCATCGATCTAATGACCAGAAGACTCCTGGCAACGGGACAAAAGCCAGTTACTGTGGGCACTTTCTTCTCGCTTGGCCACTCAACGTGAGCACAGTCACCTCATTCTATATCAAATCAAATCTGACCTATTCCAGCATTGTGATCATCACATCTATTGTCGTCGCAGCTACAGCAGCAGCAGTCTCTGATCGCTTCGACAGCTTCAGCACCGTCGGTGGAATCATTGGAACCTCCGTCAGCGCTGCCTTCTTGATCCTGCTTGGTCTTATGAATGCATACATCCTGTATAAACTCATCAAGCAGATGCAAAAGGTCTTCAGTCTTCCCGAGGGCCATGAAGATGAAGCGTGGAAGATTGAGGGTGGAGGAATCCTGTTCTCAGTCTTGAAGAAAATGTTCAAGTTGATTGACCGGTATGTTCTTTGGTCAAGCTATTGATGTTCCGCATGTCTGACAAAGGTGTCTATTCTGGTCTAGTCCATGGAAGATGTATCCCCTCGGAATTCTGTTCGGTCTTGGTTTCGACACCTCCTCCGAGATCGCTCTGCTCGGAATCTCATCTATCGAAGCAGCAAAGGGAACATCCTTCTGGGTGATTCTCATTTTCCCGGCTCTATTCACAGGTCAGTATCTTCATATGAATCCCATCAACCCCCTCCTTCAGTCCTGACTAACGCGTACCAGCCGGCATGTGTCTCCTCGATACGATCGATGGAGCCTTGATGTTCTCCCTCTACATCCAACCAGCGGCCAACTTCCTCCCGCAAAAGCCATCAAGCACCATCTCAGACACCTCATCAACAGCCACCGATCCAGACGAGCTTCCGCAATCCCACAACAACCACCGCGACCCAGTCGCATTCCTGTACTACTCAATCGTGCTGACCACGCTGACCGTCATCGTGGCGATTGTGATCGGCGTGATCCAGCTGCTCAGTCTCATCCTGAACGTCACACATGCCACAGGCAAATTCTGGGACGGCGTCCAGGTCGCTGGTGACTACTACGATGCTATTGGCGGTGGTATTTGCGGTTGCTTTATTGTCTTTGGTCTGCTGAGCGTTCTTGTTTATAAACCATGGCGCAGGTGGATGGATCAGCGGCATGGAAAGAATGTTGTCAATGATGTGGAGAGGTATAGAGATGATGTTTCTCCTGATGATGCTCCTGGCGGTGGTGTCATTGTGACTGAGACGACCGGTCATATTCAGCACGATGGTACAGCTGCTGAGCTTTCCGGGAAGGGAACTTCGTCTCGCGTTGCTATCAAGGAGACTGGTGAACCGAGACTTGAAGATCACATCGTGTAGATGTTACTACATCCTAGCTAGTATAATCTGGTGATACTCTTGAAATGCAAGTTCTTAATATCTATCTATCTTCCATCGTGTAAGATCTACAGGTGCATGTATCCAAGTAAGCATCTTTCAAGGGAGGGAACCTACTGCCTGAAGGTTAAGGTACGGGAGGCCCTTCTGCGGGTGTACCCTAACTCCTTCCCTTTTAGTCAAAAATCGTCACCTACCCCAGTTTCCCCAGATCCTTAAGCCATTGGGAAGGTATAAATACCCCCTTCTCCCCAACTTTTCTCTCTTCTTCTTTCTTTCTCCTTCGCATCTCTTCTTTTCTCTGGGCCTGCACTTCCACTTTTTTAAGGTTTCACCTTCCACCATGTCACCCTCTACCATGACCCCATCCACCATGGATCTTCCACCTTGGTCATCCATTAGGACCTTCCAGCGAGACCCACATCCACCATGGACTTCCCATCTTTGTCATGCATCAGGACATGCACCTTCCACAATGGACCTTCATGACCCTCGTCCACTATGGTCACCTTCCACTATGGACATTCCATCTTGGTCATTCATCACGACCCTCATCCACCATGGTCACCTTCCATCATGACCTTCGTCCACACTGGTCAGTCACCTTCCACTGGCCACCTCCCACTGTCATGAATCGGGACATGGAGCTGACTATACCAGATACGTGCTCTCAGCCACATCTAGTCTTGCCGTTGCGGGCTCTGGCCTAAGAAAAATTTCCTGGCCGGCAATGACAAACAAAACATAACATAACATTGCAATGAATACTTCAACCGTCCACTTCAATCAATCAACACATCAATCATCCAACTTCAATCCACTTCAATCAACCACTTCCATCCAATTCAATCATCACCAGTCTGACCGTGGCGGGCTTCGGCTTCAGGACAATCGGCAGACTGGTCACAGCCATTTCAATCATCCATCCATCCAATTCAAAAATACCCAGTCTTGCCGTGGCGGGCTCTGGCCTAAGGACAATGTCCTGGCTGACAATAACAAAAAAGAAAAAGAAAAAGAAAACAAAAAGAAAACATTACAATGAGTACTTCAACCATCCACTTCAATCTATCAACACATCATACATCCAACTTCAATCAATCATCCATCCATCCCATTCAATCATACCAGTCTGACCGTGGCGGGCTTCGGCTTCAGGACAATCGGCAGACTGGTCAATCAACCACTTCAATCCACTACAATCCAACCATCCATCCATTCGACTCAATCATACCAGTCTGACCGTGGCGGGCTTCGGCTTCAGGACAATCGGCAGACTGGTCACACCCATCTCAATCAATCATCCACTTCAATCAACCACTTCCATTCAATCAATCACAACCACCAGTCTGACCGTGGCGGGCTTTGGCTTCAGGACAATCGGCAGACTGGTCAATCCCGACCTTCCATCATGACCCTCATTCACTATGACCACTGGCCATTGCGACCACATCCACGATTCGATTGTGGTTAAACACCTCTTTTTGCCCCTCATGTTTCCCCACTTCAATCACTACTTCACTTCAATTGCCATGTTCTCCGTCAGCCCTCACGTCAATCCTCGCGCTCAAACCTGTGTCCAAATGCTTTCATCAATCTTCTTGATCAAACTTCTTCTTACCGGTATCGACCTCATATCTCATGCCAAGAACTGTCAATGCGTCATCTGCTCCTTCCACTCAGTGACAATGGCAATCAAAACATCGAGGACAATCTCAGTCCCAACACCACTTCAAACAACAACAAGCCCAAGTCAAAGCATCATCGCTTGTTCCAAATTCCAGTGACTTGGATCACACAGGATCATTTTCTCCAGCCAAAGACCAAAGTCAAAATCATCAACTCAGCCACCGCAGGATCAATCTCTTCAGTCAAAAACCAAAGATTCCACATATCTACTGCAGGCTCGGTTGGTATTGCAGGCTACACACACAATTGGCCTCACCAGTATTCATTTATCTACACAGCAGGATTGGACGTGGGGGCTGCTTCCTTTCCTACATTTGAGGATTCTTTTTGCCATGGTTCCAAGCTCATGGAGGTTTGTTCACAAAAAATGAAACAAAACAAGAAATGAAACAAAAAGGAAAAAAGAAAATCATTCCATGTCTCATACATACATCCATAGCATTCTTGTTTGCGCAGGCCCTGTATATTTTATAGACAGCAAATCAACTAGGAACTTTCGTGATCATCTTTCAATTTCATCTTAGTAGAAACTCAGTCTTCCAAGTAATTGATCAGTACAGGCTTTCAGTTAGGTCTAGTGTCAACTGTTGTATCCATATAGTAGGGCGATGTAGCTTAGCCTCTTTAAACTTCGGAGCTTCCAACCTTTTTTTAACTTCATTGATGCCTCAGGCGTAACACCTATGACGTCAATCCCAGAAGTCTCCCGAGCTATCGCGATCCTAAATTAACGTCCTAGCACAAGCCGAATACAAAATGAGATGAGATGAACGTGCCTCTACAGGATTAAGTGTTTGAGGCTCCTTTCTCACTTTCTCGCCTGCATCAACATCAATGACAGCACAAGAATGAGCACACTCCTCGAAAGACCCTTCATCGCGTATATGATGGTCTCAATATCTATCAAAGACTCATTTTTCTGGATCTACCAACGACCATGATTTCAGATCCAATCTCTTATCTAAAGGACAAGACAGAACATGTTTCCATCTTCTCATCCCAACCACCCATCTTCATTTTGCCAATGCTTCTGTCCCTAGAGGAGCTAGACGAGATCGAAGGCCGCTTGATAGATTATGGCGGGAGATTGACCTACGACATCTCTGAAGCTGGCCTCGTTCTGGGGAAAGTCGGGCGCGCGAAGCGTGCCGCACTGGAACTACGGACCCGCGGTGTCTGGACAGAGGAGCTCATACCCAGCTCAGCTTCAAAATCAATTGGTGGTGGCGTCGGACCCCCTCCCAAGCGCAGGCGCATGAATCAGTACGATGGGACGAAGGATGTCCCGGTTGAGATTATTGATCTTAGTACTGAGTCTGAGAGTGAGGATGGAGATACGAATCGACAGGGTCCTTCAAATCACCTGATTCCAGAGAAAAAGCCAGAGGAAGTTAAAAATTCAGTCACAGTCCTGAAACTTGAGTGGATGAATGCCTCTATCACATACGGGAAATGTGTGTCCAAAGACGTATTCGTCGTCTACCGTGGGCGAAAGATCCCTCCTCCTGCCAAGACAAAGGCAGAAAATAAACAAGACCTACTCCAAAAGTCAAATCAAATTATCGAGCGTGCAAAGCAAGATGCTAGTTTACCAACACCACGAACTCCCCCTGCGGACGATATCCACGCACGCCGCTCAAAAGAACCTCCCGATGGATCTTCCCAGCGCCCTCGACCAACGCTATATCGACAAACGACCTCCGAAAACGAACAAGAGGAAACTAACCCACTCCCGCAACCAGACTGGGTCCGTGACCACGTCTTATTCGCATGTCTGCGCTCAGCACCCTTACACCCTCCAAACGAAGACTTCATCTCGCAACTCGTGAAAATAAGACAAATCCGCAAACTCACCCTCGACGAGATTGGCGTGCGCGCGTATAGCACCTCCATCGCAGCATTAGCAGCGTACCCCCATCTTATCCAGCGACCCAGCGAGATCCTCTCTTTACCAGGATGCAACGCCAAGATCGCAGAGTTATTCTCACAATTCCAGCAACACGGTGGCTGCAACCATACCGACGACGACGGGAACGTCGCCGCTGCCGATGCACTGGAAACAGATCCCACGCTCCGTATTCAAAACTCCTTCTATCAGATCTGGGGCGTTGGAGCAAAAACCGCACGCGAGTTCTACCAGCGCGGCTGGCGCGATCTCGACGATATCGTCGAGCACGGGTGGAACACGCTCTCGCGCGTGCAGCAGATTGGAGTGAAATTCTACGAGGAGTTCCAGGAGGGTGTTCCCCGTGCTGAGAGCGAGGGTATTGCTACTGTAATCCGGGATCATGCTGGCCGGGTCCGGCCGGAAGATGGAACTGGAGGTGGAATTGAGTGTGTGATTGTTGGCGGATACCGTCGTGGAAAGGAACTCAGTGGTGATGTTGATATTGTATTGTCTCATCGTGATGACGCTGTGACTCGAAATCTAATTGTTGACGTTGTTGCGAGTCTTGAGGCGGAACGGTATATCACGCATACGCTCTCTTTGCATTTGACTTCTTCGCTGCGTGAGCAGCAGACTTTGCCTTTTGATGGTGATGATACGAGGAAGTTTGATACTTTGGATAAGGCGTTGGTTGTTTGGCAAGATCCGCACTTTGATGCTACGACTACGGGAGATGATGGACGTCAGGGGAAGAATCCGAATATTCATCGTCGTGTTGATATTATCATATCGCCTTGGCGTACGGTCGGTTGTGCTGTGCTTGGCTGGTCTGGTGGCTTGACTTTTCAGCGAGACTTACGGCGGCATGCGAAGAAAGCGCGCTCGTTGAAGTTTGATTCGAGTGGTGTGCGAGATCAGAGTACTGGAAGACAGGTTGACCTGGAGCATGATGGAGAGACCTGGGAGGAGAGGGAGAAGCTTGTGATGGAGGGACTAGAAGTAGGCTGGAGACCGCCAGAAGAGCGGTGCTCGAGATAGAAAGTGGTCAGAGTCTGGAAGAGGTGATATATTCTCCTGGGCTGGGCTGGATATATGGAGTGCCCAAAAAGGGATTCAAATATAAAAACATACATATATCGGCGAGATGTACTGTTGAATATGTATCAAACACCATCTCCGATATTTCAAAGGGTTCCATAAAAAAGGAGTATGCTCATGTACTCAGATCTCCTACAAGCATGTTCTCCAAGCCAACAAGTGCGTGAAGCTCCAAATCACCAAACCGGGTAAAGGTCAGATCTAGAAGTACCACTGCACTAGCTGCTACGTTTCTGGATGTTCGTGGTTATCAAATCAATTGGAAACGGAAGGTCACTGAATCATGTCATGTTCAAGTTTCGCAAGACTCAGCTACAGCCAATCAGGCAAACAGGAAAAAAAGGTAATATGTCACAGCCTCCACGCCAATTGCATGGCTATAAGGACAACCCAGAGAAAAGAAAGAGAACATAAGGTACACAAAGATACAAATCTACCAACCTTTGATATGAATGCATACGAAGAAGAAGAAAGAGCACAACCGCCACTACAAATGCACAATGCATAACCAACCCACGGCGAATCAATCATCACGCCATAGGTCTAGAGCTAGCCATCTCACCATACCGTCCACGACTCCGGGTAGTATCGTAAGCATTGAGAACACGCATCTGGCCGCCATCGTCGGCCTGGGAGAAAGCGTAGCCGCGCTGCTTGCGCATGCGCTGAACCTGGCGGACCTTTCGAATGGCTTTTTGGAACTGCTCCATGCGTGGACGGTAGTCCTGGACATTGTATTTCTGGATTTCCTGGACGTGGTGGTATTGTTGTGGGTAGTACATGCGCTTGGCATACTTCCAGGCATAATCACGTAAAAGGCATATACAGGGTAGGACGACGGCCATCAGGTAGAAGATGGGGGACTTGAAGAGAACGGGGATAGTGCCATAGTATTCTCGCGAGAAGCCCAAAGCCGGGGCGGCATAACCGTATGCCGGGAGGAAGATGAGCCATAGGGCCATTGATCCTGGGATAGCAATGAAGGTGTACTTGGTCCAGATGTTGGTGATCAGAGCGGCCTTCCCGAGGACGGTACCTAACACGGCAGTGTACAGAGATTCACCCCAGACCCAGTGGCCGGCGACCTGACCGTCTGACATAGGAAGATCCCAGAAGTAGAGCAACTGAGAAACAATGTAGAGGATGAGAGAGTGGAAGAATCCATTCAGAATCCAGGCCCAGAAGCTATGCTTCTTGAAGAAGACACCTTTCTGGCCTAACTGGTACATCTGTGGGTAGCGGTCGAGCAATCGGGCGGAGATGTACTGGTCAAAGATTCCCATCGCGAATGGGGGTAGGACAGTGAAGAGCACGTTGTAGAAGGAGAGCGTCCAAGATTCGTAGATAACCTCTCCAGAGAATGCGTTTTGGAAAGAATACTGTAAGAAGTCAGATACCACTCCAAATAACCAATCGAGGTTCAACTTACCCAGAATTGAGTCATATAAAGCGTAATGTTCTTATAGTATGAGTATAGAATGACTCGACTGATACGAGAATAGCTCCACGCGCCATGAACCAAAAGCAACTTTCGAAGGAACCTGAACTGGCCAATTGCGACATCAGCAGATCGTGCGGCTTGAAGACCTTCGACACCGCTGATGCCGACTCCGACATGAGCGGCTTGGATCATGGACACATCATTGGCACCGTCGCCAATGGCTAAGAGAAGTGCCTTCTTGTGGCGCTTGACAAGTTTGACGACCAACGCCTTTTGAAGGGGAGAGACTCGACTAAGGAACATGTTAGAAAAAGAAATACTCCAAAGTTCAATGGCACACTTACCAGCAAACAACGGCTTTGCAAATGACAGCTAGATCCAAGAACAGCTTCTCCATGCTTTTCTCCAAAGCAAAAGTCAACGATCGCCCGTCAATGACCAAAGCCAACGGTTCGGAGTCTCCAGAGGCAATTTGGCTCTGCACCGCGTCCATTTTCTTTTGCAAGCTGTCACGGGTGGCTTCTGACGTTTCCTCGTTAATGATAAGAAGCGTCATATCTTCCGAGATGAGTTTGCAGGACATGCCAATGTTGATTGCAGTTTCCTGTCGGTCACCAGTCAAGACCCAAATCTTGATTCCTGCAGTCTGGAGGGTGTGGATAGTATCCGGAACACCATCCTGCAAGCGATCCTCAATAGCTGTGGCACCAAGAAGATAGAAATCCTTTTCGATCAGCTCGGCTGCTTTGTCCAGTTCATCCGCACGACTGCCGTCAACGGTGGTGGAAGCCTTGTCATAGATCTGGTACCATTGCTGGAACTCGTTTTCTGGTACTTCCCGCATAGCCAGACACAACGTCCGTAGACCATCCGAGGCATACTCCTCCAAGTGCTGAAGAGTTGGTTCCACGGTAGGGTTATCGGGATGCAACCGCTCCATAATGACTGTGTCAGCACCCTTACAATAGACGCGGACCTTTCCATCAGGACACCGGAAGATGGTGGACATTCTTTTTCTAGTAGAGTTGAACTCGCACACTGCTAACAGTTCGTATTCAAGCTCCTGCCCTCCAGTCTCAAAGATCACCGATCTCGGTCTTCGGTTAGTGAATCGGAAACCCAGCGAGGCAGCTCCGTCTACCAAGGCTCCCTCGTCCGGCGATGCTGCTTGGTACTTGATCACATTTGGGTCATCGCTGTTTCGCTCAGGAATAACAGTGTGACAGGTGGCAAGGAGAGTGAGAAATTCGCGGATAGCGTTCTGGCTTGGGTGCGATTGAAGGTTCGCCTTGAGTGCTTTGAAGTCATGGATACCAACTTCAGCGCCATCCTCCACAGTGGCACGTCGATCTTCGGGAACATCATCTCCATATTGGATACCAGCAATGCTGACTTGCTTAAACTCCATCATGTTGCAGGTAAGGGTACCTGTTTTGTCAGAGAAGATGTACTCAATTTGTCCAAGTTCTTCAACAAGAGAGGATGTGCGGCAGATGGCCGGGGTATCGGTTTTATCGTAGTAAATGTCGAGGTCGGAGTTGATGAGGAAGGCCTGGAAGTATTTGACGATTTCAATGGTGACGAAGAGAGAGATCGGAACCAAATTCGAATAAAGCACCCAGTACGTGAAAATGTCCATAAAGAACTGCTTTACCATTTGGACCGACCCATAGTCGAGGTATGCGAGTGTTGAAGATTTGGTTTTCCGAATAACAAGATCACCAACAGAACTGATGACACTCAGAACGATGAGAATGCTAACAAGCATCAAAATCTGAATGTTGACTGTTCGTTCCACAGCTGTTCGCTTGATCGGGGTTGCTGTCGCATTTCGCATCAGTTTTGTCTCATGGCCACTAAAAACCACAATGCCATGAATCCAGGGAGTGTTGCGCAGCGTTGCACCACGAAGTAGGAGTTGATCCGGAGCCAAGGGTAACTCTTTCTCGCCACCTCCGGCATTCATAGTCAAGGTGGCTTCGTAAGTGTACAGACTGCTGTTTGGCTGTTCTGATCGAACGCGTCCACTCAGACGACTCAGATCACTGGGGCTGACCAGATGTGCAGTTTCTGGGATGGCTTGCTTGATTTTGAGATTGGTCTCGCCGTCCAAGTTTGCCGTCTCAATGTAGCATAGACCTTCGGGCTCGGATGATGCTAGTAGTACCAAGTCGGCTGGAAAAGGCTGCTCGGACTCAACCCGAACTATATCCCCGACCACCACATCCACCCATTTCGCATCGTGAAACGAAGATCCTTGAAGAACTTGGGTTTTTGAGTAATTCAAACCTCTGTCCGACATTCTCCGTTTGTAGTCCTCTACAAATTCTTTGATTGCCGACACAGTCAAGACGATAGCCAGCGGAACGATAGTTGTGAATTTGTTCGTTGGCGACACATTTGGGATTTGTTGTAGGACAGCGGTAAACAAGAAGAACAGGTTGGCGTATTTAGAGAATTGCTCGAATAGGAATTTGGGGATGAAGGTAAAGACGTTGTACTTGGCCGTCGATACGAAGTTGCTGACGAACCTGTGGGTGGCATTGGCGGGCGGGTTGTTGAGCTGAATCATACGCGGGCCCAGTGTCGAGGGATCAATCTTGCGTGCAAAGGGATTTAGGTCAGACGCGCGGAACTTCTTGCGTTGCTTCGGGGGCGGCGCCGGAGAAGCATCGCTGCCGACTGTGGCCCTTCTTGTGCCTGACTCAGTCAATGGAAGATCCATTTCCGAATATTGCGATGACCCCATCCCAAACATGTATTTCGCCTTGCCCATCAATCCACCCCCCAGTCCAAGGACACTATTGCGCTCATTTGCCTTGCGGCCGTGGTGTGAACTGGCAATTCGGTCTTCGTCCGCGTCGAGATCATAGTAACCTGAATGTCCATCGTCGAAGTCATCTAAGGAATACCGCCGATAATTGTCCAATCCAGAGGTCTGGGAGTAGGCTCGATCTCGCGTGCCGCTGGAGTAGGGGTCGTTCGAATGGAGACCGGGGTTGACAGGCGGATGCGCCGGTCCAGAAGCAGCATTTTGCTGCACTGCACCCTGTTGCGCGCTAGATCCGACAAAGTTATCGTAGGAGACGGAAGGGCGCGGTTGTGTTTGGATGTACGGTTGGTCGGAGTCGTCAATGTTGTAGCGTTCTAATAAGTGTTCGTCGTTCACGGGGGGTCCTTGACCGCTGTTATACATAGGTCCGGAATCCAGCAGCAGGTCGTCATCGCGGCCAGCGGCTGGATGGGACCCAGGAGGCCTACCGCTGGCCATGATGCCGCGGGGAAGCTGACAGCCTCACTGTTGTAGCGCAATAACAATGCCCCTGAGGCATTAATCGCAAGGCCACGTCGACGGAAAGGGCACTGCTAGATGTGTCGAAAGCAGGGACGATGGGAAACGAGGTATGGCGAACAAGTGGCAGGTTTGAGACTTGGAGTGGAAAATGGTGGGAATAAAGTGAGTACGAGGTCCAAGGGTGGCTTAGCGGGCGAAGGCAGC